CCTTGCCCTAATTCAGGAAACATGCTCCAGAACTTTATTTAATCCGCATCGAATCAGTCTTTTATTCTGCTAACGTTACCAAAGAGCTGACGAAATACCACAAACTTATGGATGTTCTTCCCGCCAGTGTTATCTCCCGAGTTCAGTCTTTGCTATCTAATCCCCCCGCAGATGCTCCCTATTCCACCTTAAAGGCAGAAATCCTTTGACTCGATACTGTGTCTGACCGACAGCGCTATCACCAGTTGATTAAGGAGGTATCACTGGGTGACCAGAAGTCCTCAGAACTTCTACGTCGAATACGTTCACTGCTTCGATCTCCTTGTTGTCTTCTAACGATCCCGACTCCTCGACCGCATGACTGGTCTCTCTGTGCATGATTTAACTCCTTTCACTAACTTCTGCAATTTATCTGTCTTGGAGGCAGCTATTGCTAGTACCTTTTGGGAACTGCTTCTTAAAGACCCTACCATATGCAACCCGCAGTCTCGTAGTGGTGAGGTTCAACATGACCTTATGCACCATATCCGCACCTCAGGTCCTCCTGTGTTCGCTCAGCCTAGACGACTAACACCGGCCGGTTTTCAGAGTGTAAAGGCGGAGTTTTAATACATGCTGAAACTGGGAATCCTTCGGCCGTCCGAGAGCCCCTGGGCGGACCTCTGCACATGGTGCCCAAGGCGACGTCAAGCGACTGGAGACCCTGTGGCGACTATCGTGCGCTCAGCAACGTCGCCATTCCCGACCGACACCCTGTGCCTCACCTTGGGGATTTTGCTGGAGCCCTTTTCGGCAAAGCAGTTTTCTCGAAGACTGACTTGGTGCATGGTTTTCCTCAAATTCCGGTCGTCCCTGAGGATATCCCCAGAATTCCCGTCATTACACCTTTCGGCCTCCTTGAATTAATCTGCATGTCCTTTGGGCTTCGTAATGCCGCCCAAACGCTTCACAGGTTCATTGACCGTGTCTTACATGGCCTGCCGTTTGTGTACGCCTACGTCGATGACCTCTTGGTGGCCAGCCAGAACGCAGAAGAACACAAGGAGCACCTTGCCTTGGTGTTGAATCGTCTCGACAAGTATGACATCGTTATCAACCCCTCAAAGTGTGTTTTTTGGCGTGCCTTCCCGTGAATTCCTTGGCCATCGTGTTGGCTCAGAAGGTTTGCGTCCCCTCTCCTCCAAGGTCGAATCCATTCATGATTTTCCTCCGCTAACCTCTAAGCGTCAGCTGCAACGTTTTCTCGGCTTCATCATCTGTTACCGCCGGTTCCTACTGAACTGTACCGACTTCATGCTGTCACTCACCAACATTTTTCTGGTCTGAAAGACCCCTTTGGGCTTATTGGTGGCGCACTATCTGTTAGCGGGAGGGTCAAGTCCTGACGCTACCTTGCTCACACATCCTGTTCCTGAAGCCCCGCCGACCCTCATGGTTGACGATTGGACAGTTGCGGTAGAAGCAGTCCCCCAACAACACCTAACTGGCTGCACACGACTGTTGGCCTTCTTCTCCAAGAAACTGTTGGCTGATGAGACGAGACACAGTACCTTTGGCCATAAACTTCTTGTCGTTTACCTGGCTGTGAAACACTTTCGACATTTTCTTGAAGGTCGTGACTTCACGATTTTCACGGACCATAAGCCCCTTACATTTGCAATGCGAGCACATTCAGACAAATACAACCCGAGAGAGATGATTCACTTGGCCTTTATTTCCCAAGTCACCACCGACATCCGCCACATTGATGGCACAAAGAATGAGGTGGCTGACATGCTATCCAGGCCTTCCACCTCGACGTTTGATCTCTCATTGAATTGACCTTTGTGCTATGGCGAATGGGCAACGGCGTGTTGGTTGTCAGGACGACGAGTCCGTTAGTGGTCTTCAGCGCGTTGACGTCGCTTTGACCACCGGTACTGGCACAATCTTGTGTGACGTCTCGTCTCCTTTTCATCGCCCTTTTGTGTCCACCTCGATGCGTCGAGCTGTATTTCAAACTCTCCATGTACTCTCCTACCCTGGGAAGGTTCGTCTGGCCTGTCATGAACAAGGGCGTCAAAGCTAGGTCGCGTTCGCGTCCTGAATTGCCAGCGCAACGAGGTGCAACGTCACAACTCTCCGCCAGGCACATTCCCCAGGCCCCCACTCACGGTTCAGCCATGTGCACCTGGATGTCGTAGGCCCCTTGCCTCCATCCAACGGCTATACTCAACTTATTACTTGCGTGGATCGGTACGACCGCGAGGCTGAAGCACTTCCATTGCCGAATGTGGAGGCTGAAACCATCGTAAAGGCCTTCGTCAGTCGTTGGGTTGCCATGTTCGGTGCTCCCGCCACGGTCACGACTGATCGTGGTGCCCAGTTTGAGTCTGCACTCTTCTAAACGCTCTTCAATTTGGCGGCACATGCATTCGGACGACAGCCTACCACCCAGCTGTCAACGGCGTGGCTGAGAGTTTCAATCGCCAGCTAAAAACTGCCCTGCGTGTCTCAGAAGACCCAAGAAACTGGTCAGACAACCTCCCCCTTGCACTCCTCGGCATTTGCGCGGCCCTGAAGTCGGATTTGGAATGTAGCGCAGCTGCATTGATTTTTGGCACTATCCTCCGACTGTCAGGCGAGGTGGTCACCCCAACCTCTCATGGTGCCGACGAGATCCCTGACAATTTTGTGCACCGTCTGCGGCAATGTATGCGCTCGCTTCCCCCGGTTTCACCTCGAGCTCCAACAACCGAGTCTTATGTCGAAAATACTTGGACAACTGCACTCATGTGTTCGTCCGGTGTGACCGCGTGCTCCAGTCGCTGGAATCACCATACGAAGGACTGCTCCGTGTGTTTGAATGCAACAACAAGACCTGCCGGATCCTTCGCAGTGACCAGGAGGACGTGGTCAGTGTTAATCGGGTCAAGGCTGCTGTCGCAGAGGAACTGCTGGACCTGCCACGAAGACAAAATTGTTCTGACCCCCTAACCCCTGATTCTCTGCTTCCGCTTTCTCCTACTTCTCCACCTCCCCTACTCCCTTCTTCTTCCCTTCACTTGCACTCTAGTCCACCGTCCCGCATACTTCCTCTCACTACCTGCCTCCTCCGCCGTAGCACGCACTCAATCCACTTCAACTGTACCTCCGGTCTCGGAGGGGTGTACTGTAACGAGGTACCAGACTAATTCACCTCTGATAATCTAGTCCCGTTTTCTTTTACCGAATTACTTGTTTTAACGTGACGGAAGCAATTCGGCTGGACAAACCTCGCTTCGCTGGCTTGCTCCGTTGTCGTGCTCTGCTGTCAGGTCACTTTACGTTCCGAATATCAATATTATTCACTAATCGGTTTCGCTTACTGCTCTTAATGCCTAGGGCTCGTGAGGTATCGTTCATTAGTCTGTGAGAACATTATCATTTATGTCATGTTCACTAGGCCAGTGGCCAGTTGGATACACGTCATATTACGAGGTTCTAATGGTGTTCTCAGACATTTCTAAATAGCTAACCAAACTTATCATACATGCAACAGGATCTCACCTAAACTCGAGCACCTTCTGTTACGACCTTCGACCTCTTTATTCCTGTCAGCCATGTATCCGCTCGATTGTTAGCCGGCTTCATATGCAAATTTCAACAAAAGTTTTGCTTGGACTTCGTAGACTTATTCGTACCACTAAATACAACAGGTGAATTTGATAAAGATGCAGTTCAAAATATTATATTAAAAAACCGGATCCCCAAGATTGCGATTAAATGCGTGCCTTTCTACTTAGTTTTTAAAGCTATATCTGTGATCTTGGGTTTTTGCCGACGAGCAAACTAGAAGTACTTTATCCGCCTATGGCGGTCGCTATAATCTAACGGGTTCGGATCTCAGACGGGGGACAGGATGATATATTTACAAACCAGTCCCTCTGGAAGAAAAAACTGCGCATCGCATGGTGCGATTTGAGAACCCTCCTGACACCTGCGCTCAGGACCTGGCCCTCAGAACGTTTGCACGATATAGTATGCGTCCTACCCGCCTACCCGATATGCGTTTGCCAGATCACGGCTCTGGCAGTGTTAGGGTCCCTGCCTCCACCTCTGCCATAGAGGTGTCAAAGACAACGCCATAACTCTGAGCACTTTGGCCAAAGCGTCATTCGTGCGCCAGGAGCCGGTGCCAATGGGAATTACAATTGAGCGTCCTCATGATGTTGTGTCCAGCGTCAAAGGTGTGTAGTGGATAGCCATAATGGCTACGTCGCGCCTCTCGCTAGCGCCTGCACCTACGTTCTAGCGACAGCCTGCAATGGCACGCACATCTGCCCGGCTTCGATTTGTCTCGTTGCGATTCACTGTCTGCACCACGAATTTGGTCGATTCTCTGCCCGCATCACGCGAGGCTTGTCACTACCTTCGCGTGGGCTCGGAGCCAATCAACGCAACTCCTCTCGCTGATTGATACATTGGCGGGCACAGCCAGACCGCTAGCGTAAACAATCTACAGCGACACTTGTGCAGCGGCAACCTTCGGCGACACAGGGCTCGTCGCTCTCGCTGACGTCGCCTCCGCGGCGCCGGACACATCCTCGTCCGGTTGCCAACTTTCCCCTTCACTATTCTGTACAGAATAAAGTGCCCTAACCAAATGGCGTCCTGCTTCTAACAACTTGGAATATGGCCTGAAGTTGTGGCGTACTGAGCGTACACCATCACCGCTTAGCCGCTACAGGTGCTGCAATTTTCCCCTCCCAAATCTGAACCTGATCGCATGCACAAATCGACTTTTATGAATAATTTCAAACGATAGCCAGGCTGTCCTCCTTGTATTTCTGGCGACTAGAAAGCCAGGATCCGGAAGTGCGGTCGCCATTGGAGACGAGACCGTGTTCAGCACACTAAAACTGTTATATCTCTTATCTTCTGTCAAACAAGTTCTGAAATTCTCCGCCTCCATTTTCTGTGAACTTTCATCTGACCTACTTGCATGCTGTTCCGCACCTCTTTTTACCCTACCCGCTTGAACCGGACCTCTTTGCTTGGTCAATTCTTGGTCGGATGTGGCTTTGTAGCCCCACCTGATGTAAACAAACCCCAGTCACCTCTAATGCGAAACAGGTGGTAATAGGGGGTTTTTACAGGTGGAGCCGGGGAACGCACCGGTGACGAGGTCAGGTAGTTGTATCCAAAAGAAAAGCTATTGGGAATGCGAAGTTGCACTTTGAATGGTTGAGAAATAGTCGCGTTAACCACAAACCCTAACCCTTAAACGTAAACCCTAGCCCGTAACCTTAACCTTTAACCCTAACGCCTGATCCTCACCCCTAACCATAACACCTAGTTCCGAACCATAACCCCTAACCCTAAACCTTAACACCAACCCCAACGGTACTGTGTCCATCAGGTGGGGCTACGAAACCACATCTTACCCAATTCTTGACTTTGACCTTGAAATTGAGGGTCACCCGTTTTGCTTAATATGGTTCCTGTGCATGTATCTGATCCACTATCACGAACTCATGTTCTACTGTCTGGAATCAGGTGTTGAATTCAGCCAACTCTTTTGTTCTATACGGCTATTCACTGTCATTTGATTGACGAACGACAGACAGCGGAAAACAAGTTAGTCACGTATCTGCGTGGGTACGCAAGGTATGCTTAGTATCTGACTGTCATATGATGCAGGAAATTAATACTGGCAAAGAGAATGACCTGCACCAGGGGGAGCGTGGGGCATCTCAGGTACCCTGTTTACGGTGTTCATTTCGTAGACTTTCTGCATGACTCTCAGACTAAACACCCATAGGGAATTTCGAAATCCACAAATTCAGGAGACTACTGCCTTTAATCAGAGCCTTTTGTTTTTAGACACTTGGAAGTGCCATGGTCGACCGTCCTTAAATCAGAAGGCAGGAAAGACGGTTAGATGAAACGGTGTAGTATTCACGCAGCTCGACAAGCAGTAGCAGCCGGGCGTTCTCACCGGGTCAGTGCGTGTGTGTGGCTGAGGTTGTCGGGCCCGGCGCCAAGTGCGTAGGCTTTTGTCTGAGCTGTGCCCGCCTGAAGCTTGCTCAGTGCTGATTGGCTCTGAGCTCTCGCAGTCTGGTTTCAAGTCCTGAGCGCCTCCAGCGACGAAATGACAGGGAGAACGAGGCGGACGGGCGGGGTGAGTGAGCGTCGTGGCGGTTGCGGGAGCAGACCGCCACAGTACCCCCAACCCAGACCGAAGGTAGCGTGTAGCAACTCCAATGAAATTGTTCATGCCTAAAAACGTGCGTAGCCAATCGGCCAGGGAAGTGAAAACGGCGTCCGCTGCGTGTGATAAAGACAAGGGGGACAGCGTGAAAGGGTTGAGTGTGTTGCGTTGGAAGAGTTCCAGGAGGATGAGGTTACATTTGGAAGCTGCAGATATGGCGGGGCACAAAGTAGACGGGACGGATGTGCAAAGGGTGGGAGTGGGTGGAGGAGCACCTTTTTGTCCTTGGGCGGTTCGTCTCGAATAGTAGCCTTGACCCCGTCAATGTTGACCACACACTATCTGTCACTGCGAAAGAACCTGCAGGTCTTCCTATTGCGTGAGTGCACTCGTAATTATCCTTCGTATGATGTTCCCAAAGGCTTGCACATACAGCCACACTGAACGAACACATGAGTGCAGTCGGCCAAGCATTTTTTGAAATAAGGATCGGTCCGAGGAGTTCAAGGCGAAGCCGGTGAAAACGAACGCATAAATTGGCGTAGGCGATACATGAAATTGTCAGGAGTCCAGTCGGCCCCATGTGAGGTTGGTGTAACCGTCTCACCTGGAAGTTTGAGCGTGCTGCCGAAAACCAGTTCGGCTGTACAGCAGTCAAGATCTGACTTCAGTGCCGTTCGAATACCAAGAAGCGCAAATGGCAGCTTGTCAAACCAGTTTGCTGGATCATCTGCGACGCATTAGGTGGTCTTTAAGTGGCAGTGGAGACTCTCAATCAGAGGCAGTTGGAAACTCGACCATCTGAATATATGTCGAAGTGGCTGCCAAGGGCGCAAAATAAGGTACCCAGGAGTCCCAGGCACCCAGTGGACACTGGCCATACGGTGGACCCAATGACTGAGTTTGAAGTCCTACTTCGGGAGACGGCTGGGCGTCTCCTGTGCTTTACAGAGGCCGCTGAAATACAGAGGGGAAAACCAGACTTCTATAAGCACTTGGATTACGTGATCAACTTCGCACTACCATGATAAGGATCGATAATGGACGTAACTCCAATGCCTCTTCTGTCCTCTCAACCCCCGCATGAATGGCTGCTGTCCTGTGCGATGCAGTTTTAATCAGGCCCGACAGGTTTTCACTTTAATGCGAACTCGCTGGCTTAGATACCTTTCCTCCTACTTCCCCCTCGCCATAAGCACCCGCATATCAGATAAGCAGTCCAAGTTTTATTTACCTATCACGTTTCATCCCCCTAGGTCGCTCCCAATCCACCTTATCTCATTAGTGCCATATGGCCGTATGCAGTTGAACAGGAGGTCACGAAGTTCTATGACGTCGTCAAATTCTTCATGTTTCGTCGCCTTTGCCTTGATCAAATTTATTCCAGGAAAACAGTGCTTCTATTTACTGGCTGTTTATCATTAACGAAGTTAATCAGACTACTTCAACGATAACAAGCTATAATTTTTACTTCGTTTGTGAGGGACCATTTAAAAACCTGCAGCCATCTAGGAGAAAACCTCATCAGGACAAAACACCCGAAACAAGGTAGTCTTTCGGTGCCACAGGTTTCGATCGGGTCGTCTAAAAACTCTCCCCCCAATGACTTTAACGATGGCCAACTCCAAGGCACGTTCAGACGAAAAACTGATTCACACCGGTGCGTACTTGTGCGGACATTTACTTTCCCGTGGTCTTCTGGGCAGATTTTTTTGTCTGGCACCTGTTAGAAGATTTTAAGAACCGAGGCAGACTTCGATTATCGCTCCTGGGGGTAATTTATCCTCCCACTAGTTGAAGCCTGAGGATCAGCCCTCCAAGTAGTTAACTTGGGCGGTTAAACGAAGATCGTCACAAAAATCATCTGAACCACCTCGCAGACGTACTCGGTCACAGCAAGCGTTACCTACACAATAGAGTCTCTGGTGGAACAGTCTGAATGATTGAAACAACAAGAGCTGCACGCCTTTGGGCGACTCGAACTTCAGATCCTTGCGATGTAAGAACACAGATAACCCTGGAGTCACAATGTCCGAGATCTCGAACGAGCCTCAGCTAAAGGTGGAACCAGAAGGCTGCACCGAATTCTGAAGATGGACCAGTTCTATAATCCATCCCTTCCTACGATGACAGACAACCGCGACCCCGGAAAAGGCACGAAAATCCAACAGGAAGCGCACTTTGCCCTCGTCCCCTCCATTAGTGCAACAGTCTACGACAGTTCATTCTCGTCTACCGTGTGGACTTTCGCTTTGCATTACCTCCATCGCGATTCGCTGTGGTGGAGCATGTGGTGGGTGACCAGAATGATACCAAAGATAGCATGCCAGTCTGAACTGGCGATCTTCAGCGCCGCCAGGCAACTATGCCGCCTTCAGTCCGTCCAACGTCCCCTGTCAATCGATTTCTTGAGCTGCATAAGACTTGGCACCAGCGTGGCGAGGGCCCGAGGCCTGCCGACTCTACTTACTTCGCCGACTGGTCGCCGGCGGGCAGAACCCGGACGCAAGCAGTTAACAACCTCAACGCCTGTCACTCGCCTATTGAGGTGACTTGCCGCCTCTGTCTGTTGAGCCGCGTGTGCGCTCTCTTGCCACAGTAATGCATGTCCAACCAACTCTGCCTCCCAGACTTTTGATTGAGGAAATTCTCGCGTTGTATGCCGTCTTGGACAAGCGGTGACCACAAAGTTATAGAATCACAATTGCCAGAAGTAGTTGGGCCCAATAATAACGAATTTCTCTTCTCCACTTCATCTCCAAATTCACTTGCGCCACTTAATTTGGGTACGATTCAGGCAAGATAGAGCGTGCTAGAATACGCCCTGAATAGATGAGGCATGCCCCTCATGTTCCGAATTCTTCTTCTATAGCGTCTCCAACGAACGGTGTTATAGTCGTCCCCGAATGTAATCTGTCAACTGCAATATCCTTGTTCGTCGGCTGCGATGAATTGCAGGGACCAGAAAACCGAGTAGTCTGGACTTAAACCAAGTCCCATTTGGCCACGGCTTTGGATCAATCGCTACAGGAAAAATTCTCTTCTAGGGCATATCAGTCGGCCCGATTTTCCTCAGAGTTTTGCACTAGAAAGTGATAACTCGTGGGGCAGGAGCTCAAGAGCATGGGGTTGCCTTAGTTAGTAGTCATAAAGAACGTCATAAATATGCGCAAACAATACTCATGTCCGGTGTTTCCGATGGTTTGCTCTGGGTGCGAGCTAATCGTATGGTAGGAAAGTCAGTAAATGCAATTCCCGGTCGAAACTGCAAAACTTAGCATACATGCATAATTACTGGGCGTAATTTTCGGGTCAGCTTTTCTTAGTATACATAAGTCGGCACTTGTTTTATGGACTTATAATTATTTATGATGCTTTTAGTCGGGCCGTTTACAAAGATTCGGTCTATCCTGTGATTGTTTTAAGAGTCTGCCTTGACAACTACCTTCGTTCCCGGATATCCAATGTCCGTGTGTTAGAGAACAGAGCTACAACGCCGCGAAAGAAAAAAGGGAATGAGTTAAGAATAATTCTGCTGACTCAGTAGATAATATTGAAGTCTCCTGAAAGTCACCAAAGCAGTTGCACTTTGAGTTAGACCCCAGCAGGTCCCCAAGAATAGTCCGGTAAAGTACAGAGGTCCTTATAAAGATGGACGGCTGGTGGTCAGACCAGGATCGATCTAGTTGATCAACCTAGAAAACGTTACTTGCACATAAGGCCTTCAAAAGTGGCCAAAATATCTCTGACATTTCCTCCCTATCGCTTGAAGCTAGTCATATTTATCTTCAGTATGAACACACCTCGGCTTATCCGAACGCTTCTTATACCTTTCAAGAAACTAAAACCGTATTGTCCCTGGCACAATCTCGAAAACGTCAGTGAGACGCCGACACCAGTCTAATGAGATGAGATCATGTGGATTCACAGAAATAAATTGAAATCTAGCCCTCACACATTAGCATTAATCCACAAATTATGCAGGCATTCGCGTTGGCCGCGCGGATCGTTGTGGATCTCTACCATGGTAAGGCCATTGATCGGCCCCCTGGTAATTCCCTAATATGGTCAGTGTTGTCCGTACCACTCTCGCTGGGCATTCAGCGAACACAGTGCAAAGTTAACCAGTCAAATGCGACATCGGCACAAGGTCGCTCACAGCCACTGGCTGTTGCCGCACCAATCGGAACACGCGTAAGATTCCATAAGTGGATTAGGTGCGCGCCAGGGACTTGCGCTTTCTTCCAACCGTCCAGCACTCGTTTTTGTTCTGCACTAGTTGACTGAAAGATGGAGATGCGTCGTCTCACCGCTACCCTCCTAGGCATTGCCATTGCGGCAATTGTCCTCGCTTTGGCCCTTCCGCACTGGGGCTGTGGCAACCTCATCGAAAACTGCCCCCGAGGCTACGATCGTGACGCCATAATTGCAGTCGCTGCCCTTCTCATTATCGGCCTAGCCTGCCTGATTATTGTCTTCATCATCGACCTGGTCTTGATCTGCTCTAGCGTCGTGCCAGCGGGTCTCATCACCGCACGCTTCGTCCTCCTGTACTTGGGCGCAGCACTCATTTTGATAGCCGTTATTGTGTTCACGGCGAAGAGGAATGCCCTTTGGTCGTACTTCCTTGCGGTGATTGGCGCTATTTTCACCGTCCTGGTGGCCATCCTGGCGATCATGTCCTCTAGATGCGTGACCGGCACTGAGCGCGTCGTTGTACGAACCACACACTAGAGCGTGTGTCTGCATCGGCCCCAGAACACTTCGACCACGCGGCCGTGAACAGAGTCCCAGTTTCGCCACGTGAAATAATGTCTATTGGCTCTTGAAAACTTGACTACCCGCACTTATAAAACCGGTAACAAATTTTTTTGACCTTCATAATCCGCCTTGTTCAGACACTTCTATATGAAATCGCCTGCCCTCCTGCAAAGACCGCTTTCCCCCTTCTCGCTGCTGTTCCTGTAACTGCCTGCGCTTAAGCATTTTCTGTGCATACATTTTAAGTTTAACTACCGTCAAACTCTTGTGCCTCCAGCGTCTCTCCTCCTCGTTGCTAATGAGAGGATTGGGTCCCCATAGGAATTTGTGTTTTTTTGTTTTTCACCAATAGACTTATCCGCAATACATGGCCTTTCTTTTGTTTTGGGAATTTTTTTGTTTAAGGACGCATTTTAGCTTGTGAAGGCTAGCAGTGTTACATGGTGGGACGGCTGTTTGAACTTTGCTTTTAGTTCTCTGTTTGGGATATTCTAATCGGTATTCAGATTTGGAGCCGTCAAGACGCCTAGATAAGAAAGTCCAGCTAGGACATATTGTTGATCGTTCATATGGGTCTGGCTAGTAAGAGGGAATTCCCAGTCAGGGGAAGGTGTATTTAGCGGCCACACTATGGAAAATTTGGGAGCCTGAACGAGGATGCGGTCTATCGATTTAGACTCGCTGACTCATAAAGCCTTTAAAACCCCCTGATATACTCTCAGATCTCGTTAAAATGGCCTTCTGGACTGCGAATGATCGGGTTACAGACACCTAGAGATGCAGCAGATTAGATTAAATGATCGAGTCACTTACATTCGAAATGGATAAACACAGTTAGAAGGCCGAGAAGAAGGGTGGGTTTATCGAAAACCTACTCATTTTGTATACTGCAAAGGAGTTTAGTGCCAGAGACAGAATGTCCACTTGGCCGCAGATCATGTGCCAAGAATATGCGGGCGCGTCCCAGGGATGAAAAGGAAGGACGTAGGGTTTCTAGGCAAGGTCGATTTCCGTTCGCTGTGCAGGCGATAAAGTGCACACAAACCAACGCTGCTTGCGGTTTGTTCCTCAAGCACTTTGTTCTTTCCTTCAACACTGGGATTGTTTCAGGGATTGACTCTTCGTAAACTGAGGGAGTTAAGAGGGAATTGAACGTCATTATATAAAGGGACCCACTATCTCCAGTCGCCACTCACACGCTGGAGGAAGGCCATGATTTCGACGTCGCCAACACGCTGATATTGGCGCGCGCCGGTAACAAGACGGGGCGAGAACGGGTACGAACGGCGTCACCACGCCGGGGGATCATTGTGGGTCAGGCAGCATAAACCAGACCTAGCCACGGACGTAGTCCACCCCTCACGGCACATGGATATAAATGTTCACACGTTGCTGCGTTCTAGCAGTCTCTGATGCCGAACTCCAGATCGAGTTCGAAAGCTAAGGCCAATAAATCTACCGTCTTCTTTTAAATAAAGGGCAAGTTTGCGACCAGATCTGCACTGCTGCCAGTATGGCAGACCATTTAATATTTGTATACTACTGACTGCCTGTACGGAGATTGCGAATTTTAATCGCTACTTCCGTAGTAGCTGACAGATTTCAGCCCGAATATTCATGCAAAGCTTTCGAGCCGAGCCTAAAAAGCTTTGTTCTAAGGGATTTACTTCAAGTTTGCGCATTACTTTCCTCAGAAAATGAACAAGGTGAAAGTTGAGTTTCTCAGGTGTCCCCAGAGAGGGGAGTAAAATAAAGACTTGACTACGAAATTCGATATAGTTTCCTCACACGTAATGCTGGAAAGGGTAAATTCTTGCATTTATAGGACGACTGGTGTTGGTCCTCCTGCTAGGTAATGCTGGTTTCTCAATTAGTGTCCAAGCTGTTGACCTTAAATCTCAGATTGCCAGGTTTTCTGAGAATGAAGCCCATACTTCCGATTTTGAATGCCCACGGAACGCATATAAAATTAGAACCTGCAGCGCCACCCTAGTCTACAAACGTTTACTTCCTTAGCTAGATCGGACGGGCAGAACTTGCGAGGAGTTAAAGGCCTAAACCACCGTCCTAACCACCCAGCATTCAACACAAGGAGAGGGACATAAAGCTCTCCCAAGAGCAACCGGATACGTGGGAGAAACTATTAGCTTTACCAAGTTACCAACACGAGTACATCTGCCAAACCCGGACGCAGTTATCGGTTTGTGTGAGCATGCTATTATCGTTTATAGAGAAAGGATTAGGAAGCGGGCGTAACCAAAGTTGATAACCTGTTGGGACGACGACAAAGAAAACGCAAGACTAATGGAAACGCAAGCCCTGACGGGCTGAATATTGATAGCGACTGCCTGTACGTTTTCAGTCGTCAAAAGTGAAAAGCAGACCGAAATGTAATAAGCGCGAGGCAGCAAATAAATGTTCTCCAGCGAAGTCTTATGATTCTTCAACCACTAAGCCGGAGACTCTCAGTTATGCTCCTTTATTATTTTAGCTAGTCGGACTCGGGTCGAGCAACTAGAACACGGCAGAGCTTTTGCAGGCACCTAACCTCGGTGACGGTGTAATTTTGTAACTGAGGTGATGGACGCTCCCAGTCTGCACCCTTTCAGAATTTCGTTGGCGGCCACTCTGGCTCTTTGACATTTCAGTCAAATATGCTTTCTGACTTATGCCAGCCTTACAGACAGTGTGATCGCTCACCGAAACGCTTTACCTGGATGTCCAGAGCCGATTTGGTCAAAATCCCAGGGAACTTGTTCACCCATTCCCTGCTTCTGCTAGGCGCGTTGCGGGAGCTGATTGGAGTTGGCCTCAGTTACTGAGCCTCTGATTTGTTACTTGTTAAACCAATCACATGCGTAACTCGGTTGAATTTTCCCAATCCTCGACTCAGCGCAAGACTTAATTGGTTTAATCTCAGTGGTTTCAGCCAATTGAATTTTACGTTAGAGCAAGAACGCTATTCAGTCCGGCCCTGTAGTCGCGCTCATCCAAATCGAAACACCGAGGCGCGATAGAGTTGGCTAAATGGAAGCGCGCCGTCTAACCGCCTCTCTTCTTGGTCTTTCTATTACGGCGATTGTTCTTGCCTTGGTTTTTCCAGAATGGGGCTGTGGAAATCTCCTTGAATCCTGCGCTCGAGGTCGTGACCGGGACATAATCATTGCAGTCGCTGCCCTTCTCTTAATTGGGTTGGCTTGCCTCATCATCATCTTCGTCATTGACCTTGTGTTGATTTGTTCTTCGCCTGTGCCTGTTGGCCTCATCACTGCCCGTTTCCTTATTCTTTACCTTGGAGTGGCATTAATTCTCTCTGGCGTCTTATTGTTTACTGCCAAGATAACTCATCGGTGGTCCTACTTCCTTACAGTTGTTGGTGCCGTATTCGGTGTACTGGTTGCAATCCTAGCGCTGATGTCATCGAGATGTGTGACCCGCACGGAGCATGTTATTGTGCGGGCAACGCACTGAGACGCGCGCTGTTACCTCCGTGCGGACTACTATTCGTGCTCTCCTCCGCTTTTGGCTAAACCGCTACCACTCCCGCGTGCTTGCCTTCCTCTAACTAAGCTAATTCCAAACTCCTGCTTGTTGCTTTCACTAACAGCTTTGCCTTAATGCCTGGATTACTGGCAAACATGCTGCTCCGGCTTCTTAAGCAGCTGAGCTAATGTCTCTTGTGAATGTCATTGTGTATTCGGTCGTTGATGAAAAATACCCCCTCCCCATTTTTCTTCAATCGACTTATGTGTAAATTCTTCGTGCCTCACAAATTTGCGCCTTTCCCTCTTGGCTGGTTGTATCAAGCTACACGAGAGTATTTTTTCAGGCGGAAGGATATAATGCTTTAGTTCAAAGCACGTTCCACTTCCCCTCTAAAATACGTGTTAAATAGTGTTTATTTCAATTAATATCCAGTTTGTTAGTTGTTGACTTGTGCAAACGGATGTATGGATTTTGCAGCTGACAGGTTAACTTTTTATTGGTTAACTCGGAAGACAATTGAGCAAATATATACCTTTTAAAAATTATGTCAGATTTGTACAATTTTACAGACAGCTAGCATCTAGGCAGTCATCTCACACCTGGCCAAGCGGCATCTTTCGTATGGGCGGGCATATAGAATAACAACTCAAGGAAACGAGTAATTTTGCCAGAGTATGATTCATAAAGTTACCCATGCACTTTCGGCTAATCAGTTTTGGGCTACGGAGACTGCAGGGGTTGCACGACAATCGGGCGCTTAGCAGGGTGGTCGTCGTCTCTGTTGTCGCTAGTAGATGTCACCATCGGGACCTGGGAGTTAGATAGCGTCCTATTGGCTGTGAAGGCGTTCCGTTGCCGCGGCGTGTACCCGACGGACTGGAATTGGGCCTTTGGACATGCTCGATCCCTCCTTTTTCTAATTACACTGAAAGTTGTTCGTGCCTATTTAAACAGGCGCCTGCCCATTCGACCACTGCAGCCTGCTCCACAGAAGCAAATACAAGTTAAGCTGTTTTGCAGTGACAGCTTGTCTTTGATTTCAGAAGATGTTATAAGGACTTTCGATACAGGAGAGGCCCGCGAAAAGAGCCAACTGGTCAACACTTTATTAGTTTGCTGATGGCATTATCTTGGAAAGACCGACTAGGACTGCTGTTGTCAGCAGTAGTTTCTCCCTCTCTTTGGCCTTTACCTTTCTTCCCTGGATGCTTTGCTAAACACTTGACACAAGTACAAACATAATTATTTTTTATACTAAACAAAATCGCAACCGCATATCGACTGCTTACTACGGTCTTATAACATGGACCATGGGTAGTGAATGTGTGGCGAGTTAAATTTGCTCAGGAAATCAACATGAAAACAGCAAGGTCGCAGTCTGGACCACACAGTTTTGTCGACAAAAAATTAACTTAAAAGCGCGGTATAGAACGAGGGCATGAAAGCGTGCAGGAGGCCAGAGGCTACGAAGGCAAGGACGGGCTTAC